GCCCGGGGCCGCCGTCCGCGGGGCGGGCCCCCGCGCCGCGGCGCCCGGCCCCGGGAGGCCGAGGCACCGCTCGGGCGGGAGGAAAGGCAGAGGAGGAGGAGGAGGAGGAGGAGGAGGAGGAGGAGGAGGAGGAGGAGGAGGAGGGGAGGAGGAGAGGAGGAGGAGGAGGAGGAGGAGGAGGAGGAGGGGAGGACAGGAGGAGGAGGAGCTCCAGGGAGGCCCCCGCGGCCTCCGAGGAGGCCCCCCCGCGGCCCCCGCGGCCTCCGAGACGTTTCCAGGGAGGCCCCCCCGCGGCCGCCCGGGAGGCCCGCGCCCCCGCGGCCCCTCTCCAGGGTGTGCCCCCGGGCCGCCCCTCGGCACCCGTCGTGGGGCCCGCGGGGCCCCAGGCGCTCCAAGCTGTGAGCGAGAAGTTCGGGACACTGGGGGGCCAGGGGCACCTGCAAGCGAGCGCGATCTGCGTTTCTGGGGCGACGGGGAGAGAGGGCACTGCTCTTGCAGGGCAAGAGCAAGCATGAGCAGCCCAGTCGTCGGCAAGAGTTAACCTGAAATCAGAGCTTCTCGCGAAGGGCGGCTGTAAGGATTGCTGTTGACCGATCAAGCGCGCCCGCCGAGCCTACGGGGATCTGGCCCTGGAAACAACGCTGCCCCCCCAACGACCTTCAACCTGCAGCAACCCCCTGGACCGCGGGGCTCGCTGCCGGCGTCGCTGCGGGCGCTGTCCACTCGACATCAGGGGGCCGCCTTGCCCAACAGCGGCCGCTGTCGGTTCTGGACGACGCTTGCTATGGTGCATCGTAGCCACCTTCTCCGGACCCACTTCGGGCGTCCAGAGCGAGGACGAGGAGGAACACTCAGATCTAGGCTCAGGGCACCGAGAGCGACGACGAGGGGGAGCATCGCGGGCGATGTTCCTCCCTCCATCCCTGAGCTCGGCCCGAAAAGTTTGGCCGCTCAGCAAGAGGGTGTGCCCTGGGATGCACCCCCAGGGGGCTGTTCGGACGCACCCCGATGGAGGATGGACGCCCTCCCGTCGTACATCCCAGGGTCGGGCCCAGAGTTTCTGGTCCACGTATGGGGGGTCGACATATCCCCCGCTTAGACAGATGCGGGGGTCGACACATCCCCTGCCAAGAAGCCAAGTATAGGGGTCGTTCTATCCCCTGCTGAGACAGCTGCGGGGGTGCTCCGGCGGCTCCACAGTGCAATCACGGGGGAGTCTTTTGGGGGATCGCCCCTCCCTCCCTCCTCCCTCTGGAGGTCCGACGCTCCCCAAAGATTGGAGAGGCGGGTTTGTATCGCCGCTTTCGGCCTCCAGGGGCCCTCCCTGGGCCTCGGGGCCGTCCCCTCTGGGAAGTCGCCCAGACCTCTGGGCCTCCCGCCTTCCCCCTCGCTCCTCCAGCCCTCCTCTCCCCTCTTTCCTCTCTGCGCCACTCATTGTGCTCATGAACACGTTGCCTTTCGGCGCGCAGCGCCGTGCGCCGTGTGAACATGACAAGTGTGTAGCCGCATCGCTCGTGCGCACCAGCCTGAAGAGCCGACAGGACTGGATTTGACTGCACCGATCTGGCGACGGGTTGCGGCACTCACTGTGCTCATACTTTTCTACACACAGCCCCATCCGTCGAGTAAAACAAGTCGCCTGTCCCCTTTTGTCCCATGGCTCCAGAGGCCGACCTCTACTCTCAGAGTCTATATACCTTTTCTCGGCCAGGTGCTAGGGCAGTCGGTAATGAGCGCCTCGTACATTGGTAGTTCTAGACGCTTCGCGTGACCCCGCCACCCATTCAGAAACGATTTTCAGACGAGTTGCCGTGGGCAGGGATGCGAAGGATCATGCAGTGGAATGAAGGGCTGGAACGACGTCCTATTCCAGGAGGGGGAGGAGAGAGGAGTAATCGGAGTGAAGGAGGAGGAGGAGGAGGAGGGCGAGAAGGACGAGGGCGGAGGAGGAGGAGGTGTAGGAGTAGGAGTAGGAGTATGAGTCAAGCTAGCCAGCTCGAGCGAGTCAAGCATGGCATGCCCAGTCCCACCCGCCCTCCCACAACATAAGAAGCAAAGCTGGCACAACTGGGGGCCGAAGTCACACCGGCCAGCCGGTTTGGTACAGCTGATGCGGCCGCGATGGCGGTTGCCGACGGGAACTGGCGAGCGCGTGTTGAATGCCGCGCACGCATTGCCAGACGAGTCGAGAATGGCCCGGTACACCGCAGGAAGCCTGAAGGCCCCAACTTGTACTGTTTTTTTATAAAGGGGGGGTTTGGATGGGCGGGCGCGGGGTGTGCGCCGCATCCCATTCCTGCCAAGCATTTTGCGACGTGGACGACAGGACGTCCATGCTGAGAGGAAAAACGTTGGTGCGCGGCGCCGAGGCGAGAGCGACATGTCACCCCTTCGCGCGGGGTGTGCACCGCGTCCCATTCCTGCCACGCATTTTGCGACGTGACGACAGCACGACCATGTTGACAAGAAAAACAAAAACTGTGTATTGTCTTTTGCAGAT